TTTTTTTTTTTTCTTTTCTTCACTTTTCTAGTGTAAACAAAATTTTCCAGTGTTGCCTTCTTTAATATTAAGAACTTCATTTTGGCTAGTATTTCTGCCCCTATTATTTGGTTTTTCCCCCAGTTTTATCCTGTAAGGTTTTCTGTTTGGTTTGGTTTGATTTATAGTATGTTTGTCTTTCCTCTCTATTTTGGTGGAGGTGGGGTACTGTGTCTGCTCTGGCTAAAAGAGAGCTGCTGACCTCAAGGGAAACACCAACCCAGCACCCCCAGAGGTTGGGGGTTTTTAAGGTTTTTAATAGTACCCTATTGTACACTTTTATTATCCTGTATCCCTGTTTCGGTGCCTCTCTTTTTTTTGTCAATATTCCCTTTTACTCACCCCCACTCTTCTCTTTTTTTTGTTTTTTTTTAATCTTTTTTCCCGTCTTGCTCTTCAATCTTCTCATCCTTTTAGTCCTGTACCAAGAGGACTCATTGAAACCTTAGGCCAGAGGCATGATAACTTAAAGAGCAAGAGGAAGTGAAAGGAAAATTAGGGTAAGGAAACAGATAAAAGAAAACACTCATGAGGAAGAATCAGCAGAAAAATCCTGGTAATATGAAAGACAAGTTCAGAGCAATCCCCTCAAGGGGATTGGTCCCCAAGGGACTATGAGGTAGCTACTGCAGAGGATTCCCCCTATAAAGAAATGTTAGAAATAAAAAAAGGGAAATTTAAAATACAGATGATGAAAGCAATGAAGGAAATTGCTGAGAAAGTGGAAAATGACCAAAAAACAATGAAGTAAATTGCTGAAAAAGTGGAAAATAACTAAAAGGAAGTCCAAAAACAGAATCAAATAAAAGATGAATGATATGAAGAATATAGGAAGGATATAGCAGAGCTGAAGGAATTGAAGCAATTAGGGAACTTAAAGACTCAATAGACAGAATCAACAACAGATTAGACCATCCAGAAGAAAGAATCTCAGAGATAGAGGACAAAGCTTTTGAGATAACTAAGGTAGTTAAAGATGCAGAAAAGAAAAGAGAGAAAGTAGAATGTTCACTGACAGAATTATTGGACTTTATGAAGTGTTCAAACATACAAGTTATGGGTATCCCAAAAGGGGAAGAAGAATGACCCAGAGGAATGGAAGCATACTAGAGAATATTATAAATGAAAAATTTTCAAATATCACCAAATATTCTGACACACTCCTCTCAGAAGGATATCAGACCCCAGGTCGCCTGAACTCAAATAGAGCTTCTCTGAGATACATTGTGATGAGACTGTCCAAAGTCAAGACAAAAGAAAAGATTCTGTAAGTTGCCAGAAGTAAGTGCCAATTGACCTACAGGGGCAAAGCCATCAGGGTGACTGCAGACTTCTCTAATGAAACTTTTCAAGCCAAAAGACAATAGTCATCTACCTTTAATGTACTTAAACAGAACAGTTTCCAGCCCAGCATTCTATATCCTGCTAAGCTAAGCTTTAAAATTGACAGAGAAATCAAATCTTTTGTTGCTATTGCAAACATTGAGGAAATTTGCCACAAGACCAGCTCTACAGGAAATACTTCAACCTGTTCTACACAGTGACCATCACAATGGACCACCAGCAAAGTAAGCATCCAGAAATTAAAGGACAGAACCTAGCTTTCACAATGATACAAAAGACAAAACTAAGCAATGGGCTTTCACAAAATAAGATGAAGAAAATGTTACCACACTTATCAATTATCTCAATAATTGTTAATGGCTTGAATTCCCCGTGAAGAGGCATAGACTGGCTTATTGGATTAAAAAACACAAGTATCCATCTGCTGTCTGCAGGAAACACACCTCATGTCAAAAGACAAATTTAAACTTATAGTTGAGGGTTGGAAGTCAATTTTTCAGGCAAACAGAATTCAAAAGAAAAGAGGGATTGCAATCTTATTTTCAGATACAAGTGAATTTAAAGCAACTGAAGTCAGAAGAGACAATGATGAACACTTTATATTGGTCAAGGGAAACTACAAGAAGACATTTCAATTCTAAATATTTGTGCACCCAACTTAAATGCTCCCAGATGCTTGAAACCGACCTTAATTAGTCTGAGCAATATGATATCCTATAACACCATAATAATAGGGGACTTTAGCACTTCTCTTACACAGCTGGACAGATCCTCTAAACAGAAATTAAAGATATAAGGGACTTAAATGAGACTGTAGAACAACTGTGCTTGATAGATGTATATAGAACACTCCATCCCAAAGCTAAAGAATATACATTCTCATCACTCCATGGAACATTCTTCAAAATTGGTCATATCCTAGGACATAAAACAAACCTCAAGAGTATCAAAAGAATTGAAAATTTACCTTGTATTTTCTCAGACCATAAGGCACTAATGGTGGAACTCAACTCTAACAAAAACATTCAACTCCACACAAAGGCATGGAAATTAAACAACCTTATGCTGAATAACAGTTG